GACATGAATGACAGCGTGCATAGAAGAGTAGCTTTGCTCACGATTTGATATGGCCACGGAAGTCTTCCGGAGTATCTATGAGGTCGCGGAGGAACTTGTGCGTCAGCTTTACCTCTGCCGGGCGATAGCGTACGACCACTTGGGGATGAAACGCCTGAGAGAACACTCTACGGGCATCGCGCCAATACGGTCCATAGCGCGCAACCCCTATATTCCAGTCAAAGCCGACCCTGTCGACATATTAGTAGACAAAATGTGCGAGCTGGACGCGCCGCGCACAGCTCTCTCAACATAGTCAGACCGAACGCAGGTCTTGCAAGCTCGTCAGGAGCGTACATCTGGAGCAGTAGCAGTGCGCAGACGTACCTGTCAGAGCAGATGGCCGACCGGGTCTCCAGGAGCTCCGTCGCCGCTTTGAGAGTGTTCGCTATTACGAGGTTCGTGCTCAAGATATTCATGCCTAGAACGTCTGAGTCTGTACGATATTGAGCATCTAGGTGACCGAAATGAACACTGGAACTTACTGTACTCGTCACTCCATTGTCGGTAAGTGACCCACGCCGGACTTTCGATGGATCTCAGATACCCAAGTAATGGCCAGCCGCGGGGTCCAGGGAGCTTCGAAAATCCTCGGAGTCCTGACCCTCTCGCAAAAGTGCGGCAAATCCTTGCGAAAAGGTAGACAAGGCAGCCAGCACAAAGAACAGAGCACACAGTGATTGCTGAACTATTCATGGTGGGCAAGAGCTGAGGGGCCCGGGGAAAAACGAGAAGAGACACGGTTGGACCTCGCCATGGTTGTGTTAAAAGGAAGTAGAGACTAACAAATTGGGTTAGTTTACGAGCTTCAAGCCGATGACGGAAATCTAACTGCTGTGATCGCCATTCCATAACGTCTGTACCTGACGGTTACCGGCGCGATGGTGATCAGATAGCGGGAGCCGGCCGCTAACCGACGCTAATGCATTGCACAAGAGGCAAAAAGAACGGGATCTATGCTGCCTTTGAGGGAAAGGCACAGTTTTGAGGAAAAGTAACGCTAGCCTAATATCTCCCAAGCCCGATATGCGCATTAGGTTATGACTTCCTACTGCCGAGTGGTTGTCGCTATCTGCTAGAGCCAGATGACATCCGGCAAGTGTCACTCCAGTCGATGGAGCAAGAGCTATTGTCGCACAGGAAAGTCGGCTGCGCATGCGTGATAGCTGAGGAACAAGCATACTCCGTTAGAATCGGCTAACCCAGGGCGGACACGCCATAAATCCACCATCGAATCCGGGCGGTGGCGTTTCAAGTTGGGGAATGCAGAAACCACATGAAGGGACTGTCGCCTCCTGTACCCTGAGTTGGAGTACAGAGTTCCGGAAGACTCCCAACGCGAAAGACCCCGGTGCCAAGGCGGCCTACTCCCAGGCTGACGAGTCTCTCTTCGATGTGAGACCTGCAGCAATGCTGCCATCCAAGCGCAAATGCGGGAGCTGGAAGAAACAGAGAAATGTTCAAGGCCATCTGCTCTGCTTGCAAGAGATTTCTCTGGTGTGGCGTACAACCATTGCAGGAGGCACAGCCGTCGTGACACATGGGTGGCATCTTCCCCTCCACATGCCGGCGCCTCTATCAGCCCCCAAGTCTCCCCTATCGCCACCGCAGAAAAAGGACAGGCGACTCACGACAAGAACCCGTCCGTGTAATTTCTACCGGGTTCAACAGCCTTGCCATGTACGTTCAGCACCCTGCAGACACCCAATATTGCGACGACGCTCGCGACCGCGGCCCAGAGCGACTCGTGCTGCCCGAGGCACACGCGCCGACCAATGCCAAACACGGTCACCATCGAGTTGCGTACAACTTGGTCGAGTTCGACGTCGGCATGCCGGAGCGCGTTCTGCTCAAGTTCAAGTTCAACATGGGATGAGGCGACTCACGGCTCGCAGTGTCGGCGCTTGTGAACGCACCGCAAAGTGCCGAAGATGAATGATGCAATCATTGTCTCTGGCTGACGAGCCTCTCAGCTTTCCACCCTCAACGACTGCTTCACGAGGGGCGTCGGCACTAGGGTCGTCCTGAACAGCAGACATTGGCGGATAATTGAGGCTCACCCAAACGCCCGATTGCCTCCTGTGCCTTGGTCTGGGCCGCGGGATCACAGATGTCCCTCAAATAATGAATAAGCTAGGGCTTGCAATGAAGGAGGTCGCGTGCAGCCTTCGCAGCAGACGCAAGCATTGTTATGATTGAACTTTTGTCATAGTGAATAAATAGTAAATTGCAGCCTGCATCCATCCGCCTCATCCATCCCGCTCCAGCGCAGCGTGCACTAACGCCGCATGTGCCGGTGATCGCGGACGAATACAACACTTAAACGGCTTCGGTGCCCTGTATATCTGCTTGTCAGTGACCGTTCCATTACAGACAGTCAAAGAGACACGCACGTCAGGAACCAATCCGTGTATTCTCCACTTGGTTCAATAACCGCACCATGTGCGTCGACGGCCTTGGTGATGTCGAATGCAGCGATTACGCTCGCGACCGCGATCCAGAGCGACTCGTACGCCATGTGACGTCCGGGACAGATCCGCCGTCCGAAGCCGAAGACCGCTACCGCGGGATCGCGCACGGTCGGGTCAAGCTCCACGTTCTCCGCGCCCGTTCCGCCAATGCTCGGGCGTGGTCGGAGGAAACGTCGCGGGTTGAAGGCCTCTGGATCGGAGTATGCATCTGGATCATGTAAGATCGCCCTGTGCGCCGTGTATAAGCTCGACGAAGTCGAAAAACCGCGCAAAAAGCGTACCAAGCATTCGCAAAGACGAGCGAACCTTTCGTTATGTGATAGCCCTCATAGATGTCGTCTTTGGTCACCATGTGCGCCGGGGCTATTTGGACAGTCGTCAATCCTCAGACTGCCTAAATTAGGGAATTTGAGAACGGAGGAGACGGACTCATGGGGACGACAGGTCGCCAGCGCAGACATTCCTTCACGATAGCATGTACCCATGGCAGAGCATCGTAGTCCGAGAAGTCGGGAAGCCGCCCCTCACAGATCCGGTCCACAGAGAGTTGTGCCTCTTGCAGGACCTCAGGGGTTAACGTCATGGCGAGGAAGAACGTCTCCAGGGTGGATACTGTCTGCACATTTGTCACCAACAGCTTGGGCGCATGACCACAAAAAGAACTGACCGTATCTGCTCCAGCTGTGCGGGGAGTGTTCAGTGAGGTAAAAACACTAGTTTTGAGCAAGTTTACCTATATACATTGAGGAGAGAGTGGCCTTGAGGACGTGCTCCGCATATACAGGGTCGCCGGGGTCGTCGAGCATCTTCTCCACGAGCGGCTTTGCCATGCAACCTGAGGGAATATCATCGCGGGCCTGGCCGACCGCTAGTTAATTTGTGGCTAAGAGAGACGACGCAGTGGCTGACGCGTACCTTCATTGCAGCAAATGCCTCATTGTACGCGAGGTTGGCATCTTTTCGCCATTCTCGCGCTTGTCTCTTGAATCCAGCACCAGGGAACCACTCTGGAAC